GGGGCAGTTCTACTCTGTCCTGTAGGGTCCCTATGAGTCAGAATTGACTTGACGGCAATGGGTAAGGTATAGAATGTATGTCTAATGAATCCGTAAAATGCCCTTCTTCCTCTCTCCTCACCCTACCACTTGACTTAGGAAACCAATCAATGCGGGACCCTCTGCCCAGCGTCTATGGAAGCAACCGCACATTGTGGCAGGTGTGACTTCAACTTCAGCAGCCACATCTGCACTGTGGTAAAAGGGTCTCCCAATTCCACAGAGCAGGCATCAAGTGAAGAAATATGTTCCTTTGCTGAAGAGATTGTTCATACAGGGGATGCAAACATATACTCCTTCACAGGTAACAGAACATGAGCTATCTGCCACCATTAGTACGGAGAGTGAAAACGTTCTATAAAACGCACATTTCTTTCACTCTGAACATCATCTGTCTCCTTGTCCTGATCTCAATTGATTCCATCATACTTTGAGGCCAGCTAGTTAGCAATTAAAGGCATAATATGGATTTGTTCAAAGTTAGTGGCTTAAGTATTTTTGAAGTCTAACTTTAAACAAGCATGAATACTGTTTTAAAGTTAATCTGTGGAGAAAAAAGAACAGAGAAACAAGTGACTTATAGGCCCTTTTCTGGTATATCTAGTCAATTTAGAATGAATTCAACTTTCTTTCTCCAAGTTCAGATGCAGACTTTTAATGAATGCAATGAAAGAATGTGGCTGTACTTGCAAGCAGAAAGGAGGCTGGAACCTGTCTGATTGCTCGTAAAACCTAGCAGCATTATTCTGAGAAGGAAAACCCAATGGTGGTGTTTTCCCCAAGATGGTCTGTCATCTTGGAAATAATACTCTTTGCAGTTATTAAAAATATTAATATCTGAGCACCATCTTGGCCATACTGAATTAGTCCAAAATAGTGGTTCTCAGCCCTGGCTAAGCCATGTGTGAGAAACACTGTAAAGGTTAGGATTAACTCCAAAATGTAGTTCTGTCATTTTTAAAATTTTTATTATTTATCCATTTACTTAAGTCCCTACAGAGTTTGTTTCTATATTTTGAAAAATATCAAATAAATAAATATGTAAAGGTATAAAGAGTTATATATATAGATATCTACACATATCTATATAGATACAGGTATACCAAAAACCCCTTTCCATCAAGCCGATTCCAACTCATAGCGACCCTACAGGAAAGAGTAGAACTGCCCCATAGGGTTTTCAAGGAGTGGCTGGTGGATTTGAACAGCTGACCTTTTGGTTAGCAGTCGAGCTCTTAACCACTGTGCCACCAGGGCTCCAGATATAGATACAGATATGTATATATATGCCATCCATCATCCAGAGTTAAACAGAATCCATTTAAGTGAGGTTAAATAAGCTAAGGTTAAATAAAAATACACTCTTTTATCATAACTCATCATTCGGCCTTTCTCAACCAATGCTGGGTAATAAGGCAAACCTCAAGAATGCAGAAGGTAAGGCTGAGGCAGGACGCTGGGATGAGAGGGGGCGGATGACAGAGGGAAGGAAGGAATGGAGATAGGGTTCATTGAACATCACTCAGGCCAGGTGCTGTGCTTTAAAACCTTACTTAAATTTACCCGCAAATCAATCACAGACATGATCATTCAACAGATAAGAACTTTGAGGGTCAGAACTGTACAAGTAGCTTGTTGTGCTAAAGGATACAGACTCAAATCGTACCATCTTCAGAGAGGGCTGGATGTAGAAGATGCTGTGTGGTACAGGAGCGCCTTTCAGAGTACTCCAAAACACCCTCCACCCACTCCTTCCACCCATATTATCTGTTTCTATCTTCCTGCTCATGGCCCAGGTCAGGATTCACATCCTCAGCACAGGCTTCCCAAGCCCACCCGCTCTCCTCTGCACTGCCTGGGCGCATCCTAACAGCGGTCACTCCTGTACCATGTCCCAGCCCCTCTCCTCTGCACAGCCAGGGCGCATCCTAACAGCGGTCACTCCTGTACCATGTCCCAGCCCCTCTCCTCTGCACAGCCAGGGTGCATCCTTACAGCGGTCACTACACTACCATGTGCCTTATACATTTGGACATTTTCCCATCCCTCCTATTAGAGGAAAATATCCTCATGACTAGGACACCTTTACTTAACTTCACATTATTATTTGGATTGAGGAAATCTGATGATTTAAAAAAAAAAAAACTTCCTGTCTATCTTAGTCATCTAGTGCTGCTCTAACAGAAGTACCACGAGTGGATGGCCTCAGCCAAGAGAAGTTTATTCTCTCACAGTCCAGTAGGCTACAAGTCCAAATCAGGGCGTCAGCTCCAGGGGAATGCTTTCTCCTTTGGCTCTGGAGGAAAGTCCATGTCATCAATCTTCCTTTGGTATGGGAGCTTCTCTGCGCAGGAACCTCAGGTCCAAAGGATATGCTCTGCTCCCGGCACTGCTTTCTTGGTGGTATGAGGTTCCCATGTGTCTCTGCTCGCTTCTGTCTTTTATATCTCAAAAGAGATCGGATTAAGACACTATCTAATCTTGTAAACCTCATCAGTGTAACCTCATCATAGTGACAGAGTTTACAACACATAAGGAAATCACATTAGATTACACAATCATACAGTACTGGGAATCATGACCTAGCCAAGTTGACAGATATTTTTGTGGGATACAATTCAATCCATGACACTATCTGATTTCTCTCTTTTCAGATGTAAACGTGGAGCCCTACACGCTGTACGAGTATAGGATCTCTGCATGGAATAGCTATGGGCAAGGAGTCAGCCAAGCTGTTAGAGTCAGCACGAAAGAAGATGTGCCACAAGGAGTGAGTCCCCCTCGGTGGACCCAAATGGATGAACTGGAGGATGTAATAGTCTTAAACTGGAAGAAACCAATACAACCAAATGGTATCAAACTGCTGTTAAAATAGTGATAGTGTAACCCACCCACCACTCCCACCACTCCCCCCACCCTGTGAACCTATAAGGAAGCCGAAATGAGTGTAATCTACATTTAATTGGCATGCATCTAACCACAAAGAATTATTTTCAATAAAAAGAACTTCAGTTTTGTGCCAACTATTCATTCACTTTGTGGAATAGCCCTTGTGAGTTTTAGCCAAAACAAAACAAAACTTCCTTGAATTTCAGCATAAATCTGAGCAACTTTCAACCAAGCAAAGGATGTTAAGAGAAGGTAGCATAGTTTTAACGTTAAAAGTAAATTTGTTTGGTGATAAGGACAAATAAATGTAAATGACTTTGATGATCTGTCTCACTAATCCCTCTCCTCCAAATAGTGAATATAATTAAGAGTTGTTTGATCATAACAATATAATAGCAAATTAAGATTAAATAATGCTATAGTATTCCATTTCTTCAGAACACTAGGGCATATAAGTCGATTGAAGATATTTGATATGACATGACACTAAAAAGAGCCATTTTCTCCTGATCTTTAAGGTCCTATTATTTACTACATTCTTCTCCGAAATGGATTTGAACGCTTTCGGGGAACGTCACTGAGCTTCTCTGATACCAAGGGGATTCAGCCATTTCAGGAATATTCCTACCAGCTGAAAGCGTGCACAGTTGCTGGCTGTACTGCCAGCAGCAAGGTAAGGGAAGTTTCCGGAAACCCTAGAAAGAGGGATCCAATGTGAAGACTGTACGAACGTCCAGGTCCCGAGTGATTTTTCCAGTGGAAAAAAAAAAAACAGTATCCCCCTCAAAGTCGTGACAAGTAGAGTTTTCAACTCTCACCTCCTCTGGGTGCTAATCATCATGAAGAGACCACTGGAAGAGAGATTTATCCAAACATCTATCCTTTATTAATGAACTCACAAGAAAACTTGAACCAATATAATCCTCTTTCACGCTTCTCCCCCACCAAATATTTTTCGGTGACTTTCTGTAAGTCCAGAGCCCTGGTGGTGCGGTGGTTAAGAGCTTGGCTGCTAACCAAAAGGTCAGCAGTTTGAATCCACCAAGTGCTCCTTGAAAACCCTATGGGGTAGTTCTATTCTGTCCTACAGGGTCGCTATGAGTTGGAATTGACTCAGCAGCAATGAGTTTGGTTTTTCTTTTTTGGTTTCTGTAAGTCCATACAAATTCCCAAGCCATTCCTCCATTGAATATGGGTTTCTATTTAAATATTGTACCAAAAACTGCCTGCCCTTGAAAATGGAGAGAAGGGTGGACGAACCTGACAAGACATAAACGTTCAGAGGCTGCTGCCATAAGCTAGACAAGAAGTGATGAAGACCTGGCCGTAAGCGTCAGGGGTAGGAATGGAGAAAATCAGAAAGATGCAAAAAATATTGGGGACAGAATCTACAGGGCAGTCAACCTTAAGTGGAGGCATAAAAGGGAAGAGTCAGAGATATTTTCAAGATGTCCAGCGTGAGCAATTTTTGGTTAATGGTGCCATTCTGCAAGCAAGTGAGAAAAGAAAAACGGAAGAGAAAAAAGTTAAAAATAAAATAATAAAAAAATTTAAAAGTTTAAAAACTTAAAGAGGAGCAATAGATCACAGGAAGGGTGGGGAAAGCAGATATTATTTGGCACTTTAAGTGAAAATGTCTAGTGTGATGCTGGGTTAAGAAGTAACTGGAGTTTGCTAGAAAGATCTACATGGGAAGTTGAAGCAACAGACTTGAGAATGGTCATCGAAGGAGGATATGTGGGAGGCAGTGGTGGTTCGATGGCAGAATTCTCACCTTCTATGCAAGAGACCTGGGTTTGATTCCCGGCCAATGCACCTCATGTGCAACCACCACCCATCTGTCAGTGGAGGTTTGCGTATTAGTGTGATGCTGAACAGGTTTCAGCAGATTTTCTAGGCTAAGATGAACTAGAAAGAGAGGCCTGGAGGTCTACTTGCAAAAATCAGCCAATGACTACCCTATGGCTCACAATGCCGATCTGCAACTGATCATGGGGATGGTGCAGGAATGGCCAGTATTTCCTTTCACTGGGTATGGGGTCACCATGAGTTGGGGGCCACCTTGACCACAGCTAACAACAACAAGGAAAGTCCATAGAATGACAAAAACACAAGACCATAGACAATGAGCACTGGAGGACGCTACCAAATGAAGAAAGAAAACCTACAAAGGAGATTGGGAAGGAACTATCAAATAACTTAGGAGGAAGATAAGGAAGGAGCCATTTAATGGTAGCCAACCTAGTCAGAGGAAGCCCTGCAGGAGACACGCTTATACACAGCAGCTCTTGTTCTCTTCATGCGGCTACAACTATACAAGAGCAGCATTTTCACACACTGTGCAAGAACCATCCCAATATAACATTCAGTCAAAATGATCAGCCGCAGTGAATGGGCGCAGCTTTTTATCCAGCAGACCACCAGAAACATCTCTGAGTGTGCCACCGTTTGGACAGATGGCGGTGAATTGGCCCCATCAAAAGTGATGGTCTAAATGGTCCTGGAACAATTCCGTGCCTTTTGCACAGACACAGCTCATACCTACAGATGCCGAAACAATTGGTTACAAAGTGAAATCAAAGTTAATTCTGTGGAAAGAAAAAAAAAAATCCAGGCAATTTTCGTTCAAAAACTGTATTTTGAGAATATTGAATAAATAGCTGGTTGATTTATCCTTTTCTCTTCTCATTTGGTTTTTTCCTAGAACATAGGTTCAGACACTGTAAAGTCATCCTGGATATCACAGGAAGAGCACAGAAATGTCCGCCCGTTGATTCTGTTCAAAGCACATTAGATGCAAGCAAGTTCAGATGTAGGTTTTGCACCATATTTACTGGTGCTTAAAATGTACAAAATCAGGCTGTTAAAATGCAAAGACACCGATGAACCATATGGAAGAGAGTTATCAAGAGTGCTCTAGTAAGACAGTCTACCAGCCAGATTTTACTCGTTTAAACTGAGGGCTGCACTCTGCCGTCAAAATTGTTGTTGAACCTGTTGTGATAAATGGTAGTCTGAGACTTATGTCATGTATTCAAGGTCAGATTTCATTGTTTAAATAGGATGGGAAGGAAAGAATAAAAAAAGAGGACTGCTTCTCCAAGCCCCTGCTAATGATACGCCAGGCCAGACAACACCATTTTAAAACAAAGGCGACATTCTCATTGATCAGGGTACCTAGTGTACTGTTACAATAAATTGCCGGTTAATTCCTCTGTCTTCAGGTAGCTGCAGCCACTACCCGAGGGGTTCCGGAGAGTGTCCTGCCGCCGAGAATCTCAGCCCCAAGTGCGGACACCTTGCATTTGAGCTGGAGCATCCCTGAGAAGCCAAATGGCGTCATTGAAGAGTACCAGCTCCTGCAGGCTGGGAAAGGGCTCATCTACACTGACACCACTGGCAGGAGGCAGCATACGGTCACAGGTGAAAAAAACCAGGAAAACCTACCCGAGGCGCCTGTCGTTGTGGTTAGTGGGGAAACGCATCCCAGGGGTGTGTGTCTGATATATGAGGTCGCTTGGAAAGGATTGTTCTCCTGACATATGGTCGGGTCCCACTTACCCACGCTAGCAGAAGAGCACACACTGGCAGCAGTGAGCCACAGCAGCAGACAACCTCAGAGGTCCTGCATATTCGGCTTTGATATGCATTAAGTGTAGGGTTTTTGCAACAAACTGAACTTTTTTTTTTTTTTTAGACAAACAATAAAATGCATTTTTATTCCCCAAGGATATACTGCTAGATAATGAGACTAGGATAGACAAGAATGTACTAGAAGGCAGGGGAAAATCCAGCCAGAGGCAGAAGTTTGTCCACTAAGAAATTAATACAGAGCTAGTTGACACTGAGTGGATGTGACTGTTATTACGATTAACAGGAATTAATAGACATTGTATTGTTTTAACCAATAACATTACTTACTATCATTGGTTTTAGTAATCTAATAGTACAGCATTATAGTATAATTTAGTAAGAATCTAATACTAGGTATTTACGAGTAGTGATTATAATAGTAGCTAACATGTTTTAGCTTCAAGGTCACTTATGAAAAGAAGGCTTTTCTGGCCACCCAGTCTACAGTGGATTCCCTAATGCACTGCCGCCTCATCTTGTTTTACATTCATAGTAGACATCTCACTGCCTGATATTTTCCTGTTTGTTTTTCATTTGTCTTTTGATTGCTTCTCCCACTAGAATCTGAGATCCAGAAGAGCAGGGACCTTGTCTACCTCGTTCACTACTATCTCTAAACCAAAAAACCCAACCCATTGCCGTCAAGTTGATTCCAACTCACAGCAACCCTATAGGACAGAGAAGAACTGCCCCTTAGGGTTTCCAAGGAGCAGCGGGTGGATTTGAACTGCCGACCTTTTAGTTAGTAGCCAAAGTCTTAATCACCACGCCACCAAGTTTCCACTGTGTCTCTAGCACCTAGAAAGTCCTTGTCACATCAGTAGGTGCTTAATAAATGTTTGTAGAGCAAATAAGTTTAATATGTGCCAAACACTGTCCTAATTACCTGGCATGCACTATATAATTTGATTCTCATCACAAACTATGGAGGAGGTAGAATTATTACTACCATTTTACAGAAGAGTGCTTTGAGAGAGTAAGTAGCTTAGTTCATGATTTGGGTCTGTTGAATCTTCCCAAACAGTGGCATAAATTTAGATTCAGAGAACACATGTCAGATATTATGAAATTTTACTTATCTGCTATTATCAGTCGCCTCCCTCCAGTGCCTCGTAAGTGAGAGCCGTTCCATTGGACCCGCGCGCCTTGCTTGGAGACGATAGCCATACCATAGATAAGAGAGGCACACGGAAGTACAGAAAGGCCTGGAAAAATGTGCCTGTCTTTTTCCTAAGAGGAAGTACAGGTTATACTAAAAAAAAAAAAAAGTTGCCATGGAGTCGATTCCGACTCATAGCGACCTATAGGGCAGAGTAGAACCGCCCCATAGGGTTTCCAAGGAGCAGCCGACCTTTTGGTTAGCAGCTGAGCTCTTAACCACTGCACCACCAGGGCTCCCAGGCTATACTATGCAGGTGGAAGAGTAAATTTGTGTTTTGCTCTTAAACTCTACAGTTCCCTGGCACACAGCAAGCATTTATTGACCCAATCTCCAGTGTTTTCCCAAAAATGCCCTAAGCCTGTGGAAGGGGCTTAATAAATATTTGTGGACTAGCCCATGGTCTCCCTTATCACAAGATCTGGAGTTAAATCATTGATCATGGGGATGGGGAGAGCCCTAATCAATTCAGATGATCAGATTTGTTCTTTATGTCTTATTTCAGTTAAAGTGAAAATCATCACAAGTGAACAAAATAAAGTTTTACGTAATAAAATTTTACATTTGTATCATGCTTTAGAGGAGCTCTGGTGGTTTGACTACTAACAGAAAGGTTGGCAGTTGGAGCCCACCAGCTGCTCCGTGCGAGAAAGACGTGGCCGTCTGCTTCTGTAAAGATTACAGCCTTGGAAACTGTGCAGGGGCAGTTCTACTCTGTCCTATAGGCTCGCTATGAGTTGGAATTGACTTGACTGCAGCGGATTTTTTTTTTTTTTTGGTTTATGGTACTTTATAATTTTAAATAACTGCATTTTTACTCATTTGATTCTCGTCACATCCCTGTAAGTAAGATATGTGAAGGCTGTCTTTAATGCCAACATCAGAGAGATAGAGAAGGCAACTAATCTACTCTGGGGTGTCCATCTGTAAGGAGATCAGAATCCTGGTTCATCAAAAAGAAGTTTCTTGCTTGCTGTGCTCTAGACGCTGGATTACAAACCAAACCAGTACCAGTTGCTGTCGAGTCAAATATGACTCATGGCCACCCCATGCATTGCAGGGTAAAACTGTGCTCTGTAGGGTTTTCATGGCTATGACCTTTTGGAAGCACATTGCCAGGCCTTTCTTCCAAGGCACCTCTGGTTGGGTTTGAACCACCAACCTTTGGTTGGTGGCCAAGCACTTAACGGTTTGCACCACCCAGGAACTCCATAGATACTACAGGAAGTGCTCTGAAGCAAGATTCCTGCTCTTAGAAAGTTCCTAGTCATAGAGTACATGGACAAGTCAAGGGCTAACTGTAAATACAGTGTAATGGGTAAGCTCTGGACAAGATGCAATGGTGTAAATCAAAAGAATGGTTTGTAGTGGGCAATGGAATGTAAATTACAGAGTTTTGGAAATCCAGTGAAGGCACATTAAGACTTTGTACTAGTAAAGGTTTCACAATAAACCAGGATATAAGGCTAAGGAAATTTCTTCTTCTTGTACTATCTATCTGCCATTGAATTGTTGCCAGACACACTGATTTGCATTTTTTTAGAAACTGGCATTTATACTCCAACAGCCCAAATTCAACTCAAATGTTCAACCCAACAGGATTGATAGCCTCATTAATTGTAAAATAATGGCAAGGAGCTTTCTTTAAACACCTTCCCTCCACTGGTTCTTCCTTTCATTGTCATTTTTAATGGATACTTTCATGTCAGGGAGGATTTCATACACAGAGCTTGATGGCAGCAATCCGCTTTCATTAGAATAAGTATACTAAAGTTTTTCCACATAATTTTAATTCGTACGAAATCATAAAACTCTATTCTGTCTTAAATAGATGAGAGGGTACTTCAGCTGGCTAATACAGCCCTAAACAGGGAGTTCTTTGTGAATGAGGACAGAAACCCCCATTCAGCAAAATCTTACAAAGTACAGAACCTCCTCGACGAAGTTTCGGTGGGGCAAGAACGGCGCTAGGCATTAGAAAATCTAAAACCTGAGATCTTAGAATGTAAGCATTTCGTCTGCCAGACGGAACTCAGTTCTGTGGTTAGCTGACTGAGCAAATACGGCTCAGAAGGGTTTTATAATGTGAATGACGGTTCTATTGAGTTCATGGAATGAGCTAAAATAATCAAATCTATTTCACATTCCATCTTAGATGTTTGATCGAAGAGCCTGCCTGAACCCCTAGGGTGACTGTTTTGATTTTCTCATCATTTCCAAAACGCGGGCATTCCGCTAATGAAGCTGTAGCGCTCGTCTTCCTGGAGCCTGCAAATCTAGGTCTTCAGAGGTGACAGAAGGGAACGTGGGCACCTTGCCTCAGCCCCATTGTCTCCATGCTTACTTTTAATTACATCGAAGCTTTGGAAACATGATCCTGTAAATGCTTTGTGGGAATAGTGGCGAATGCACTCATCACGTGAAATCCATAAATTGCTCATAATCCTCTCAAGATGTTAAAAAAAGCATTAAGTAATTGAAGACAGGAAGTCCTCGGTTAATTATTTAGAGGTGTTATCAATGCTTTAAGTAAACTGCAGCATTTTCTACTATCTCAGTGAGCTGAATACCGTGGGGATGACGGAGCGGCAGCCAGCGACCTCTCACAGTCACTCATGCAAACAGCACGTCAGCTTGTCAATAAAAGACCGCTCACATCGTTTATTACTGAACACATTCACCCTCCTGCACAGAGCATTCTGGGTGTCGGCCATGGCATCCTTTCCCTTCGGTTTACCCCTGCCTTATAGATGGGCCCCCCAACAAGGGCAGTAAGGTGGAGGAGGGGGTAAAAAGATTAACTAAATAGGGCCACCGAGAGAAAAACGTATTAAGCACGTCCTTTTTAGCAACAGGTATGAAAAGGGCCTACGTGTCTTTTCACCCTGGGGAAAATGTTTTCAAAATAATTAATTAAAATATCTCATCATTGCATTTCACTCCAAAGTAAATGCCCCCCAGCATTAAGCTAACGAGGAGATAGGACAATATGCCTTCCTTTCTCGTCCCCTTAGAAGCCCATGAAGATCTCGTGGGCTAAGTAGCTTCAACTCTAATGATGGGGTTGTAGCAGAAAGCATAATGCTCATAGTGAAGCAGATATCTAACACATCACTTCTGGGAAAAAAAGGAACACAATTTGTCCATCGTTATAACAAAACATAGAAATTCTTCATAAGGGGATTTTACATTTGTGAGTCCTTGGGTGGTACAAATGGTCAAGCGCTCAACTGCTAACTGAAAGACTGGTAGTTTGAGTCACCCAGAGGTGTCTTGAAAGAAAGGCCTGGTGATCTGCTTCCAATAGGTCACAGCCTTGAAAACTCGATGGGCACGGTTCTACTCTGCAACACACAGGGTCACCATGAGGAGAAAACAAAACACAAATCATGTGTACCGATAGCATCCCCCACTCTCTTCTCATCGTATTTATTACATCTGATGATAATATCCTTTTTGTTGTTTCAGATCCTCAACTAGTAGGTACAGTTTTTTAAGGACAGAGACACTGGCTTCTTGTTTGTCATTAAATCTTTGGTACTTATCACAGGACTTAACATGTTTTCATCCCACTGCCGTCAAGTCCATTCAGACTCATAGCGACCCTGTAGGGTTTCCAAGGCTGTAAATC